CCTAATATAATTTGTTTTGTGCAATATACTTACAAGGTCAATTTCAGTTAAGTGAGTGACTTTCTCTTATTTTGAATTGTTTCACAATGATAAATCAATGACAATTTGAAAGATGAAAATAATGCACTGCAAATTTTTTTAAATTTATTAATTCTAGTGATCAAATTCAATGGTTCTACTCCCGTATGTACTATAAAGCAGGCATCTGTTCGGTACAGACCTATCGATCATAAGACGTGGATTGTACTGTATGTTTTGTGAATTTATGTCATAATCAAGCTATTACTAGTAGTCACCCAGAAGAAATGTTACGTGATTTTCTTGAAGTTTAGAAAGTCAAGTAGATATTATAAATCGAAGGACACCATTCAACCGATCAAAAGCCAATACGGTATAAATCACTGATACTGTAACAAATACCAGTCGATCACATCACATGTCTTCACTGGTATCAAGATTCCGTACCTTTGAGAGTCAGATTGTCTCCCTATAAGTTTTAATTATTGCTATGAAGTGCAACAAACATTTAATCATTAAACTGTTTAATATTCAGTTACTGATTTATTTAAAGAGCAGTAATAGCATTGACCGGAACGATTGCTACATCAGCAACTGCATGGGATCTGTTTACGACTTATTGTACTTCTAACTATCACAGGCTGCCTTCAGTCGAAACAGGTAAATTTTGTTCCCATTTTGGATGACGTATTTCCTCCCATTTGCTGTGCTATCAACGAAAAAAGCTTTACGAGAAATGTTTCATTGTCAAAATATAGCACGAAATTTGTTTACAGCATGCTGGTTCCATTGCTTAATGACATTTTCGGTAATCCGAAATACCAAAGATATATTCAGTATCGAGCCTTCTAATAAACCAGGCCAAATAGGACCGATTCATTTCATGCGTTTCATTAGTATGGTGTGGGTGATCCTCGGACATGCGACAATAGGCTACATGATGTTGAGTTGTAAGTACAGCTTGATTCGAGATACTTTTCGAATATCTTAAAATAGTTATTTCAGATAAAGCTTACCAATTATCGATTTCAGCAAACATCTTAGACTGTAAGGAAACATTTAAAAATCTGTGGACGCAAGTTTTAACGAATGCATTCTTTTCCGTGGACACATTTTTCTTCATGTCCGGTTTATTAGTATCATATATTTGGTTCAAAGAATATCGCAAAGATAAGAAGAAAGCAATATCACTTACCACTTGGCTCGCATTTTACATCCATCGAATAATTCGGTACTCACTCTGACACTTATATATCCGGAACACTCATGTAACAATTTCGTTTGCACATTGTTTAACTTAATTCATTCCAAGTTGGAAATTTGTGAACACTCACAAAAAAGAAGAGGTTAAAAGTCAACTGTTGCTTTTCCAAAAGCCTTTTTCTGCTAATCAAATATTTACAGGTTTATTTTAATCTGACTGTTATCATTTTCAGGCTCTCACCACCTTATTATATCACAATAGCATTTTATTCATTTGTATTAAAGTCATTCTTGGTTAATACGCCGTACATTTTAACAACATTTGATGATCAATGCGAAAGAAGTTGGTGGACCAATTTCTTATATCTCAACAATTTTATCTATTATAATGATCAAGTAAGTTCATTTACTGCATACCATATCTGAGCACAGTAATCTATCGATTTGATTCGATCAAATACTTCGTGACAAATGATCTCATGAGCTGATTAAACTGATCGACATCAGATAATTAGGAGAGGTAGAAAATATTTATTACTTGAATTGAATATGAGCTGTTCAGTGCTATCTGGTGGCATGGTATCTGGCAACTGATTTTCAACTCCACGTTTTCGCACCAGTATTGCTGGTACCGTTAGCATTGAAACCTGTATTGGGATATATAACAGCTGGCCTACTCATATTAATTTCAACTGTTGTGAATTTTGTGACAGTGTATAAGGAATACTTCCCACCAACGGATTTCTTTATAGGTGTCATGGATCCAAGAATGGATTCATCGAGGTCTATTTTTCAATCATTTGAAAACAGCAGAATCTGAATTATTGGAGGCCATCATAATTTATCGATCTTAGCTTGGCCTGGTATGAGCCTGACTCTCCTCTATGCGAACTAATTTAGTTACTAAATGAAACTTAGGGATATTAAAAAAAGTGGTGTGTCATATCGAAAATATTCTTATAAGCTGAAAATGATAAATATGTAATTAGGTTCATAACATTTCAATAAATTACATCAATTTTGATAATGCGAGACTGATGACTGTACACTTCATTTTTCCGTCCCTCGTTTTTTCAGACCCTATTCGCTGCTGATCTATCAAGCACCTTGGATCCGATGTCAGGTTTACGTCATAGGCATTCTAGTTGGTTATCTGTTTCAAACAGTAAAAACTCTTCATATATCAAAGGTTGTTTCGCACCGACTTTTATCTTCTTCTTCTCTCAGTTTCTCATTATGAAGTTCAAACATAATTAGCGGATTTTTTAGGAAATCAGAAGTAGTAAATGATATGGAAAGTTAAATAAATTTTCAATCGGTCCTCCTTTTTTGCTTTTTCTACATTTCTTTGACCGATATTCAGACAACTTTATGGAATTTTTATATTACCATTTTTAATTAAAACTAGACGCTGATAGTTAATTAATGTTGAATATCGAAAATTATCATTAAAACTTTAGTTCTCTTAGTTTGCAAAAATTGCAATTAAATTTAAGCAAATTTCAATCTTTCAGTTAATAAACATTAATTGCTGGATTATTTCATTAATATCTGGCCTACTTCTGATAATATCGTTAAGAGATTGGATAGGTTATGACATTGTGATGGATTTATCTCTGCGAGCTTTTTATTCGGCATTTAGTAAGCTTGCATGGGGTTTAGCTCTCGCTTATATTACGGTCGCTTGCTTTTACGGTTACGGAGGTAACTTCTTGTATGATATGCTATCGTTTATTGTCCTACTGTATCATGCACTCAGATCCTACAAGCAAATGGATGGTACAATACGATATATCGCATACTACTCCTTTTTTCCATCGGAATCGAAAATAATCGGCAGTAACGATCCTTTTACACAGTATCAAAGTTCAATTTCAGGACCAATAAACGATTTCATGTCATTACCTGTATGGAAGCCATTGGGTCGACTTACTTATTGCACATATCTAACACATTTAATTGTATTGATATATATGGTATGCATAGGGGTTAATGCATTTAGTTTCTCGAGTATTACTCATACAGTAAGTAACTTTTTAAAACTTATGAAAATTTATAGACCTTAAAGGATTTTATTAATTAATACTGCAAGAGAAATTTGTTATAGACTCCTTCTCGTTTTCCCTTTTATTATTTGCCACTGATGTTTTAATCGAGAATTTCTTTTCAGTTCCTCGTCTTCACAATACCATGTTGTATCATTTCGTGGTTCTTTGCTTATTGGTTGAGTATTCTGTTTGAACTACCAGCAAGTAAGTTGGAGATGATATTGCTGGACAAAATTCGTAATAAATCATTGCAAAAACAAGCAGCGGAGCAAATCATCCGATTATCAATGGCGAGTTACAAAGAAAGGTAGGATATTGTAAGATTCTCTGATTTCTTCAAATTGATACTGGAAGATCATTCGACATTTATCGATTAATTGTTATTGTAATCTCTGAATGGTTAAATTGCATCTGAAACGAAAAACGCTGAAAACATGAAAATTTGAAGCAGTATGACATAAATTTCTAATGCTTCGCAAAGTGTACATATTCTTCGTGAAAAAAAAATTGAATTGTAAAATTCAGCCCAATCCATTTGCCATATTTCCAATTTATTCACTATTCAATTACCTGCACACAATTACGTAATGCAAAACCCTTTGAAATAATTTTTCATTGTCATGTCTTTTTAGAAGTACGTGAGTGATGAAAGAAATGTACATAAAAAATTAACTATGTAAAAATGGTATTCTTCAGTTGCTGTCATTAAAGTTAATTGACTAAAACTGTAATACTCGTCATCTCTTTTATAAAGTAAAAGTGATATTATTTTATAATGTGAGTATTACAAGCTGTCGTTTTCTTCTCTGATCGTGACAATATTTAGAGTTTGATTGCAATCTTTCAGTTACCATAGACCTCAAACTTGGGTAATTAAACCATAGCAACAATAGTAAAGGCACAATATCAAACAAGAAACAAAGGATACAAAATAAACCGAACGCATAACCCGAAATGAAGAAGTAGAACGAATGATGAGACGTGATGTCTTATATAGGCAAAGTATACGTGCATATCATAACGCGGGAAAATAAGGAGAGATATTGGAGGGTATAAGAGCAAAGGAGATCATGCAATACAATAATTGGAGGCAAGGATGGGAACGGAAATGTAAGTACACGATGAATCATTTGACTGTGTTATTTGGTTGACAGGAACATTAATATTGACACGTATTAACATACATTAAGACACGATAATATTCACGATTATATCTATGAATATATGAAAAATACATCTACAGTATATTTAGCCATTTTTAATATTCTTGAAATTTCGTGACTTTCGCGACGAAGGAAATTAATTCTTTCTAAAATTTTAATCCAAAACAAGGAAATTAATTCTTCTTTGGTACTTCTCGCTTTTTCAGCGACATGTGCATAAAACAATAAAAATATAAAACCTTCCATAATAAAAGTATAAGATATTCCATTTTTTTGAATGATATGATCATATTTTATCACTTTAAAATGATACGATCAGATCATCTCATAAAGTTTTTAGTTCTGCAATCTCTTCGTTATATATACATGTAAAAGCACACGTAGACATAGAATCTTACGTAAACACAACACATATACGTGCACACATACATACATATACGCACTTTAATACTTTTGTCTCCTATATCCATAAAAGCATAAGAATTATTAAAAGTGTAGTTAATTGAATTGATTATACGGCTCAGAATTTATTAAATTATGGGAGTGTATGATCCAAGTGACACAACACACACACACACACACACACACACACACACACACACACACACACACACACACACACGTACACTTACACATGTACACGTTCGTATGTAAGCTCTAATTGATTGTACGGTATATTCAATTAATTGTACAGCATGCGATTTAATTGATTATAAAATACATTTCATCAATTATACAATATATAGTTTAGTTGACTATAAACATGTTTAATTGCTCATACAATTTATAATTTAATTAATTATAGGAATGCATAATCTAATTGATTATGAAATATATTTAATTCGTTATCCGTGTATGAAAATATACTATCCATTCATTTCAAGAAGTTAGGTAAGATTACGGTGTGACATTTTTTTTACGGTAAAAAAAGAAGTAGTACAATTACGGAAATAATTTCAAAATGAATGATTGCGATTGATATTACTAAAAGAGATGATAATTATTCTGAAAAATGAGGAAAAAAAAGGAAGAATCTCTATCATAATAAGCAGGACAAATAATAAAATCAGGTGATCTGAACTGAAATTTGGTAAAAAAATTTTTAGATATTAATATTGAAATAATATATGGGTGATTTAAAATAGATTAGTTTTAAGATTGCAATAATTAATTATCAAAATGTTTTCGATCAGATTACTGTTTTATAAGGTTGTTACGAAAAAATTATAGTTTCGGTCGTCATTTAGTCATTTTCAAATTTAGAACTAAATTGCTCAATATCTATTTGCTTTCTTTTTTCGTAATTTAAGCTTAAAAAATCATGTGACCGAGAAATTATGATAACTTAAAAATGTTACATCAAAGAATGCTTCAAATTATTAAACTAACAAAATATTTTTAAAAAAATCATTAGTTGACGTGAATCATACGTTTACAGCAATTCTTTAAATAGCAAAATTTTAGATAAAACATTTGATTTTGATGTATTTACTGAGTATCTTATTTTTCTGATATTTTATAAATGATAATCATTTTTTCTTCATTATAACGTGAAAATTACTGGGTTAAAAAAATCATAAATAGAATGCTACATAGAAAAGTGATTAAGTATCGAACATTGGAACTTCTCGATCATTATTAAACATAATAAATTTTACAAATCTAATAGACATAGCGATAAAGTTCAAAAGTTCAACTACAATAGCTTATCACGATTTTATATTTTTATAATTTTATTTCGCAATATTCTACCGTAATGTAATTAAAAATAAGTTTCTCGTACATTTTATCCTAAAATTACTTCATTATCAATCTATTCTTTTTTCATTCGGCATGAATACCTTGAAATTTATGATGAAATAAGTGAATGTCTAATAATTAATAATTAAGAATGCTAATTTTTTACTGGAAACTTTTGTCGTTCGCATGAAAGATTTATTGTCTTTACATTGTAATTAATATTTTGAATGTTGGAATTTTACTTTAGAAATTTAATTTAATGAATTATGTGAAATTAACAATAATAGCAATACAATAATTAACTTTTCGATGATTCATTCATCATTTTGATTATTTTCATCATCGTTACTAATTTATTATTGATAGCTGTCGTACGATTGATATTCGATTACTAATATATGTTTGTGTGATATTTCATTCTGTTCACTTTTTATTCCTATAATTTAAGTTGCTACATTTACAACAATTTCTTGGAGTTAAAAATAATTTAAACTGGTATTAATAGCTGAAAAAGTATTTGCGCATCAGTGCTTTAATAAAGGGCTTTTAGAATAATTGGAAAAAAAAGTGCAAAGAATCGAACTGAAATAAATTGAACTTTATCCCAAAATATTTTTCTGCTATTTTTCTACTAGTAAGCAAATTCGATGAATGATGGTTTTAAGAAATACATAACATTTAAATTTTAATAAGGCTTTAAAGATTTAGCATTTTATTTACAAATATTTACGAAGAAAAGGAACAAAAAAATATCAAAGATCAGAAGGATAAATGAACAAAGGTGAAAAATTACTTAATTATAGATAATTTTGAAATTAGAAGTATGAATCTAAAATGATATGGTAAACGATTGATTCGTCAACATCAATTGTATCACAAAAACAATTAGCAACAATTATTAAATTACCAGCTTAACCTTCTTTTTTCAATTAATTATTAACATTTTTTAATGTTAATTTTATATTTTTATCTTCAGCATTACCAATAAAGAAATATGCGTATTTCATTCAATAATATCAAATGCTTGTTGAAATTTTTTTAAATTTTCTGCTTCATTTTGACAAAACAAATTTTGTTTGAATGCTATTAATAATTTAATACACGGTCCCATTCGAAATGAAAAGAAAAAACCCAGTTTTTTTTTCTGAAATTTATTGGATAGAAAGTATTAATATTTATTTTAAATATTGGATAAAACTAAAAATTAACCAATTGTTTTTTTTAACATCTAAATTTATTTATTTATAAAAATTTGTTTTTTTGACATTTTACTTTATTTAGTTTACTAAATTTCATTAATTAAATTGTTTTTTCAATTTCAAGAGATATCATTGGGTGAAATTGATATCTGCATCATTTTTTTTCATTTATGTGATTTCAGCAATGTAATTCTTCGTATTTTCATTTTCCTATTTTTTCAGATTTCATTCAATTTAGCTCATTTAACTTAATATATTGTAACGCATTTATTCATTATTTTATCTGAAATTCATTTAAATATCGGAAAATATTGCAAAATGAAATTACTATTTATTTTACTCGATTTGATCCTTCCAAGTTTTGTCATATTTTTTGCAATTTGCAAAGTTGAAAACGTAAGCGTGAAATGGTATATTATCAACTTATTGGCCGCATATGGCGTTTATAGCATTGGTCGTAATATAGGACTACAATTTGATGAAAAGATAAAATCATACAATGATATTTCATTTTCCATGTAAGTATTGCTGTTATACCATGCAAAAAAATTTTTTTAAATTAAGAAAATTAAATATCAGAAAAATTTCGTGAAATGACGCAACAGTAGTAAACTAGTAATTAACAAATTTGTTAGAAAAAGATCGAAAATTAAACTATAAATTTGAGTATTTTTATTATATTTACTTTTGTTTAATTTTTTGCAATACTGAGTTTGGGTACCAAAAAAAAGTGAGAATCTAACTTGTATTTGAAATATTTTAAATTGGGTTTATTGTTTATTAGACTTGTGTTTATTGTTTACTAGAAAATATGAAAAATTTGAGCTCAGTACTGGATTAATATTTCAATAACAGTTAATATTTTAATTTAAATAACACCAATTTTGAATTCTTATTGACGCAGCTTAAAAAATATTATTTTTCTTATTATTTCATTTTCTAATTTTTTTACTATTACTGTTGTTTACGCTAAATTCGAAATTTGCTGATCCAAATAGTTAACTTTAATTTCTTCAAGAAATTTATTATAAAGCTATTCAAAAAATCCTTTGTATATTCTAACGTAGCGCGCCATGGAATTTAAAATGCATGACGTTAGAAAGAATTTGAATAATGAGCAGTTAAATACCATTTGACTATAGTCGAAGTGATATAAATTGACAAACCATAAAATGTGTGATTATTAAATGCTTAATTAATTATTCTGAG